GCCGCCAATGTCTCCCCTGCTGGTGTGGCAGAGATTTGTTCCAGCCCCGAGAAAGCCGAGACCCAGGAGGATTTGCATGCAAAGGACCGGGCGTCCGAGCTGCGAGATCGGCTGCGGGAGCTGAAAAAGAAAATGGAGCTCAAGCGTGAGGACACGCAGCTGGTGCCACCGGATCTCTTGGATCGAGCTGCGGAGAAGATGAAGGCGATGCCCTCGTCTGAGGCGACTGACGCACGAAAGGGTATAAGATTAGGCGAGGTTTGTGTTTGATAACATATAAGACTCCTCTGGCAGGCACTGTCGATTCGCTCCAAGAGCTCCTGCCCTTCCTTGCATCGTGCTGCTCCGCTTCCTTCTCACTCAGGGGAGAGTGGGCCGTCTGAGGCTGGTGTGTGGCTGGGCCTCCAAATGAGTTAGTTGTTCATCCATGTGCAGATGGGAAGCGGGTTGTGAGATTGTAAAGTTGTGCAGTGATTGTGTGTGGTCACAAACACGACATTCGTGGAGGGCTGTAGTATTCAAATCAGTATTCTCTTGAACACCATAGGATATAAGCATATTTGTATTGGGTGGGTTATACAATTTTTGTGGCTTGCAGGGATTCCCTGGCTTAATAAAAGACGCTTTTCCTTAGCACAAAACAGTATAGTTATTGCATGCATGTGGGTTGGAACTTATTGTTGTTAAGAATATTTGAAGTCGGAGAGGTTGCAGCCCGTGAATGACCAGAAGGATGTGATTGACATCGAGGACACTGCTGAGCGAGGACCGCTCTTCCGCAGGCCTTCGAGCGGTGATCTCCGGGCACTTCGACGCGACTTGTCGAACCTCTTTGAGGCGGTGGAGACAAGAAATCCGAGGCCTCCGCGTTCATCGCAGATGGTGTTGCAAGATGTTGCCAGACCACTGGCAAGCTTCCGCAAAGATTCAGAGGCTTCTGTGGAGCCTCCCCCACCGGAGCCTAGTGCCCCTTGCCAGAAGGGTTCCAGCCAGCCTTGTGCAGAGCCTTGTGTGGCCTCAAAGACGGATCCGGTTGCAAAGCCTTTTGGAGCCTGCGACAAAGCGGATTACATGGTCTCCCAGAATGATTCAAAGCCTTCTCGGGCCTCGCCCAACCCAGAGCCTTGTGTGGCCCCGCAAAAGGTTTCCACCCCCATGCCAAAGCAGTGTGTCTCCAAGAAGGCCAGTGTTGAGCCCGTCGTTGACAAGGCCCCCCAGAATGATTCAAAGCCTTCTGTGGCCTCAGAGAACCCAAAGCCTTGTGTGGCCTCCACCCCCAAGCCAAAGCCGTGTGTCTCCAAGAAGGCCCCTGTTGAGCCCATCCTTGAGAAGGATCTCTTCCCAAAGGCTTCCAGCGAGGATGCTGGGGAAGGGGCAAAGGAAATTCCTGAGGTGCCCGAATCCTTTACTAGGTTGCAGCAGCGGGGCTGGCGAAAGGCTCAGGTGGCAGCTCAGCGGAAGCGCAAGCATGCTGAGGAGAATGAGTCCGGATCGGAGGAACCAGATGCTGAGGAAGCCCAGCCACGTGGACGTGGATGTGGCCGCGGTGCTCGTGGCCGTGGTGGTCGCGGCCGTGGTGGTCGCGGTTCCCGGGATGAGGACGCCGGCCGCAGCCGGAGCCCGAAGGTGCTGAAGCGGCCAGCTGCAAAGCAGCAGGTGATTCCCAAGGCGGTGGCCGTGGCCAAGGAGAAGAAGCCCAAGACTGGCAAGGCTTTGTCAGCTCGCAGTGCGGCTGTTGACGGCGAGAGTGGTGGCGGTGATGTCGTGCAAGAGAAGTTGAAGCTTGTTTTGCAAGGGCTGCCTCTGCTCAGGGCGCAGGCTGCTGAGAAGATGCAGAGCCACCCCGACTACCACTCCCGTGATCTCCTCCCCGTCCCGACCGAGCGCCGTGCTGGTTTGAAAGCGATTGTTGGCTGCACAAAGCTATGTAGCAAGAAGGATGCCTGCATCAGTTTCTCGTTTACTCAGCATGATTCCTGAAGCCTTTCAATTGATCGAGCTCGTGCCAGCTAGGACCTTCGACAATTGCGAGAACTTCAAGCTGGAGCCCTACTGGACCCGTTCCCATTGTGGCATTCGCTATGTGCCCGGCAACAAACATGTCCTCGTGGTTACGTATGCCGCCATGACCGTCAACATTGCCTACTGCAATCATGTGGCTACCTGACTTAGGAGGAGTACTGGTGTTGTACAATGTGCATACGTCTATACACACATGCACATGATAAACAAACTCGCGCATATAGGTGTGTCTTCGGTCCTTGTCAACTATAACATGTTATGTACTTCTTCACATGCCGATCTCATGTGTTCTGAGCAGCAGCTTACTAGGGGCCAAGGTTTTCCACTGGGTTGGGTGTGCACGGGTGCTTAGAACTCTGGAAATCTAAAACAACCCCCCTAGCCCTAAAAACCCTATAACTCCACCCAACCCCCTTTAAAGCCGTATATCAGCTTAAAGCCTCCAAGCCCGACATAATGGACCAATGAAGCGCCATGGGCATTGAGGTTTCAGGTGGGAAGATTTTTCTGTGGTTTAGGGTTTATAATGATCAAGAGTTAGAAGGCTTAAGGAAAGTTTAGGGTGTTGGGGGATTATAGATTATGGGATCCATGTTCTGTGGACTTATAAACCCTACATAAACCCTATAAACCTCCCAAAAGCGGTTCCCTAGGCTCCTGCTTGCCTAGTATCGGGGATCAATCTGTGCTTTCAGGGATGATGGAAGGGCACGGGTTACACTTTGCAGAGATTGTGGGTTCCATCTGTCCTGTGCTAGAGCACTTCTGGGGATGCAATTGCATCTCAAGTCTACTACTACTACTACTACTACTACTACTGCACCTACTACTGCTATTGCTACTGCTACTGCTACTGCTGTCGCTACTGCTACTGGTATTGCTACTGCCGCAACTGCTGCTGCTGCTGCTGCTGCTGCTGCTACCACTACTACTACTACTACTACTACTGCTGCTACTACTACTACTACTACTACTAGTGCCACTACTTCTACCACCACCACCATTAACCCATGCACCCTATCAAACTACAGATGTCAATGGCTAATACCTTGAAACCATAAACACACTATAACAGCCCTGTACCCCGACATAAGCCCTATAGGATCAACTCTTGCCGGATTTTTTGTCCGTGCCGACACTAGATCCCGGAATCCCAGGTTCAGGAGCTGCGACGCCGGCTCCTGCAAGCCAACTGAGACGAAGGCTGAAAGCCCTTCGTGTTTTGAGGAGGGATCATACTTGCTGCAGCCCATGTGAACATTAAACCCATAGTCCGCTGAATATGTACTTCAATATGTATGATGGGCTTGGGCAAGTGCTGGCCTACTTTTCAAAGGCCCTGGGTGGAACACGTCACTTGGTGATGTGCTTGAAACTAGTGGATTATCGGGGACTCTGTTGCGAAGCGATCGCAAGGGAAAGAGCTGAATGTTATTCCCACTGTCTTGCTTTTGGGGGTACATTACCTCTTTAATTGGGTCTACTAAAGACAACTGCACTCCACGTATACAGCTAGGATCACTACAGTAAACCTCTATGAAGCAGGTATATCGGAGACTCCTGCCATCTGTGAATTCTAATTATGGCTCTATACTTAGATCGGGTGTACAGCGATTCTAGGGTAGTGTTTTCAGGATTATAGGGTTGAGGGGTTTGTAGGGCTTTTCGGAGTGTATAGGTGTAGGGTTGATATAGGCTTTCACCCCTATAGGTCTGCCCGAAGCTTCAAGCCCTATATGCTCTTCGATCCATACTGCCATTATGCAACTGGCTGCTACTACTCATGTCTTGAGCGCGACGACGAGGAGGACGAGCTTCTGCCACAAGCTATGTCCGGTTTACAATAGAGCTTGCCAACATGGGTCTTTCAGGTTGGGGTTTCTTACATATGTAGTATAAACATGCGGACATGTGGGGCTCTTCAGAAACTAATATTGCTGGGGTTTAAAAAAATATATGTATATCCGTACTCGAGGCTCTGAACTTGAATCCGCATCTGCCACATGTCCCAATGAAAGGTGCTAGGGCTCCTCGATCGGGTTAGGGGCTTATACAGATATAAGGCTTATGGTTGGGTGGATTTGTAGCCATGTAGTTTCGTAAATCTTTAGCAGGCACTACTCTTGCAGTGTGTGCAACCGTAATAGTCGTCCGGCCTGCTAGTAGTAACACTCGTCCTACTGGTGCCGCAACTGGTGCTGGAAATGCTTGTCGCTGTACTCTTCATGCATACTTAAGATGTGTACTGCAGACAGCTATGACATGGGACCACTGCCACGACGTCACGGACGACTACGACGACGACGACGACTACTACTACTACTACTAGTAAAACTACTACAACGACAACAACAACAACAACTACTACTACTACTACTACTGCTAGTACATTTCGTACTACTAGGACGAATGCTACTAGAATTACTTCTACTCCTAGAACACAACCACCACCACTACTACTCTCCTGGTGCTGCTGATGCTGCTGCAGCTGCTACGACCGCTAGTCGGAGGACGACTATTATTACGGATACTCTACTCTTGACCTCTTGACCCCCGTCGGCCTCCCCCGAAGCTGGGAAGCATTTCCGCAGCACCTGAGGTCGCGATGCCACTCTCCACGAGGGGACTACGCAAGGCTTATGCCGAGCTTGCAGGACTGCTGCAGTGGATTTTTTTCTGGAGAGGGGGGGGGGGCATTCTGGAACCTTGGGGTTCAGGGGTTTTGTTACTAAGGGGTCAAAAGGCTTTATTAACAGGCCTTTATGTTAAGAGCCATCTCCCCAAAGTCTTCCTATGTACATGCCCTTTGAGGCTCACAGGAGTTGTATTTACCCTTGGGAAGTCCGAAAAATAACTCTTGGGGTAGTGTACTGCCGGCCTCAAGATGGAGGAGCATTAGTTCAACCGTGCAGACTGTCGACTGCAATGTGTACCCCGTATGAGCATGCAACCCATTGCAATTAATACTGTCAGACGCCATGGAGCCTGGCCGAACCGAGAAGGCTTGGGAGCCGAAAGCCTTGGTTCAGCGTCTTTATGCTGGTCGTGTGCCCAAGGCGCCGTCGCCCAAACTTGTAAAACCCTGCAACCTCTACAGTAGTTTCGAAGACCAGAAGGAGCGGACAATCGACTCAACCCTGTTCAACTAACATCCTCCAAGCCATCTAATGCCGTGGAATCCCAAGCCTTACCGTAAACCCTTATATAAACCCGATAACACCCTTATATAAGCCGTGGGTATTTGTTTATCAAGTTTATAATCTTATAAGGATTATAGGGTTTATGAGGTTTATAGAGTGGGCTTAGGGTTTATATCTATAGGGTTTACAATAGGGTTATAGGGTTTATAGGGTAACCCTGTTCAGTTGACCTCCTATAAGCCATCTCTTCATGCACTGGAATCCCAAACCTCACCCTTATAAACCCTCGTAAACCCTAAACCTTTATCAGCCGTGAAAGGATCTATATGGGGTTTATAAAGTTTATACCTTTATAAGGGTTTATAGGGTTTATAGGGCTCGATAGTTATACACATGCAGGGCCTTGGCTTCCTTTCCAAAGCCTCTCATTTTTTCTGATGCACACTTTAACGCCCCTGCATGCTATCTCTCTCTCTCTCTCTATATATATATATGTATGTATGTATGCATGTATACTATGTTGATGCTATATGTGTACATGTAGAAACATATATACATATTTACATCAGAAATATATAGATCGATAGACAGATATATAGAAAGACAAATAGGTAGATAGATAGACAGCTAGACAGATAGACAGACAGATAGATAGTTCTCTAGATAGTAAGATAGGCGAGGTGCTATCGTGTACTGGGGTTGTGTCTTCGTGACTTATTGAAACCCGAGAGAAACCCTTAGAAACCAACCTTACGTGGAGCCCTATTGCTTCCGATGTAGGCAACATCCAATCTACCACACAACCAATGATACCTAAAAAAATTCCTTGTAGACTCAGTAGATGGATGCCATAATATGCTCCGAGGTGATTGTGCTCTGCCTGCTGCTTCTGCTGGCCAATGAGAAGATGGAATGGACACGCGCCCTCTGGCTGGACAACCTAGAATACTGTGGAGATGTAGTGTCGATGAGCGAACAAAACCTTGCATAGCACAGCGCGGGATTTTGGTGAGTTGTGGAAAGTCACGAATCAGGTCTGGAATTTCGCCGAGTTCTTTGCTGGTGAAGCAAACTTATCCAAAGCTCTTCGGGACATGAATCTCTCTGAGGTTTCATTTGATCAGAAGTACCCAAGCTCTGGGATGGATTTCCGCACGGCAAGTGGTTTCTCGCATCTCGGCTTCGTTTGAAAATGGAAAGGGTTATCCATGCTACTCTTCCTGCTATCTGCCCTGTTTGCCTCGAAGTCTTTGTCAGGTTGGCTCTGTCTGCCATCCTTCGCCTGAAGCGTTCGAGTCTGGTGTTCCTGGCCCCAGTCTGCAGCACCATGGGGACATTGGTTGCAAATCACTCCGGTCGGAGCTTTGTGTTACCAATTGGTAACACAAACCGGCAGGATGTGGCTGAGTCGAACATCATGGCCATCAGGCCAGAAATCGGTAAGATTGCAGTTCTACTCTACTGTAATTTCTACTCTATGAATCCGCTCTGTCGAATCGCTTTGTTCGCCCGTGCCCCTGAGGACGATGCTTTTGTGCTGGGTCCTCTCGGCTCTCGGACATCGTTTTGTACTAGAGCAGCCGGCTGGGGGAATGTGGAGGCATCTCCCGTTCTGGAGATTTTACTGCAAATATATTGCAGTGGTTTACAGGCAGGCCGTGTGGATGAGACAGTATGGGTCGAAATCGCTCAAGAGGACATTTTTGTGGAGCAATTGTCCCGAAGTCAAACTCCTGGATCGTGGACCGATCACGAAAGCTGCTTAGGCTTTTGCAGAAATAGTTGCCAATAAGTCTTACCACAATTTAAGACAACATGCGGTATTCGAAATTTAACCCTATGAGGCCCCATAGAACTCACCCTTATACACCCTACTATACATACCCTGCAGCCTTATAAGCAATTAGCTTTGATAGAGGGTTTACATATGTCGGTTTTCTAGGGTTTGCATAAATCCTAGTGTAGTTTTGCATACTCATATGGGTACTGCTGTTAACTTGTTAAGGCACTACGGGCAAGTGCTGAGCCCCTGTGCAAGAGATATTGGGACGAACGACTGGGCAAAGAACGCTTCACCGGTGTCAAGAAACGCCTGAAGTCATCCCAGACCGGCTTGGGGGTATTCTTTTAATGCCTTCCGGTCTGTCAAAACAGTAGCCAAAACCCCTGTACTCCGGAAACGACATCCCACTCCCTGACAGGACCTACACCCCTCAATTCGGCCAGACAGTGGCTTTGGTGCTCCCGGAGATGAATGCCACGCCGATGCGACAGCCGAAGGCTGCCTTGGCTACGACCCCGTGGGCCTATAAACCCCCAAGCTCCAAAGGCATAGTCAGGATCTCGAGCTTTGTGCTTTGCAAATCACATTATTCAATAATAGTCATTCCTATGGCTCCTGGTTCGCATAGCAACCATATATATATATATGGTGCCCCCCCCCCCATGGATCCACCGTTTCCGCCTTTCAGTTACGCGACGTCCTGCTCGGCATGCCAACTTTTGACTTCCAGGGCCGAGGGTTAGGGTTCAGGGTCTGGGGTTTACGGAACGCTTCCAGTGAGAGACGTGCGACAT